TTAGTGAGTGAGCAAGGGTTGGGTTTATGAATGTACCGAGAGAAAGTTCAGTTTTGATGAATGGAGTTTTCTTGGAGAGGTTTGATGGTTTTTGAAACTCTCTCTACCTTTCACCCCACGCTTTATCCTGCGCATGATTTTCTCTCGCAAACCCCATAACATATAAATTCGGTTTTCGTTTAATTTAAAAAAAAATCAGCATAAGGCAGTTGTTCTCCACTGTAGAGGAACTTGAAACTCAGATAGATGTCAAATATAAGATAGCGGTTCTCGGCAAAAAAAAAAAGAAAAAAAAAAAAAAGGAAAAAATTTTGCAAGCAAAGTTTTTGCCGCAGACAGATGAACAAAAAAAAACTGGATTTCTGGGGTTGTTATCTATACAGAGCTTCTTCTGAAACTTGAGCATCAATGGAAATTCCCTATTCCATTTCACCAAAATGAAAAAGGACGAACAAACAAAAATCTTACTTCGATTTCATCCGAACTGGAACAACAACCTCTAGAGAGGGAGAGAGAGAGAGTTTTAAAAACCAAAAAAATATAAATTTGGTTTTTCAAGAACCGAAATTTAAAAGAATTTCGGCTTTTGAAAAACCGAAAATTAAAAAAAAAAATTGGTTTTTCATAAACCGAAAATGGGCAATTTCATCTTCTTCTTTTTTTTAAAAAAAAGTGTTTTGAAGTTGAAAAAAACGGATATATGTAATAACAGGAAGTTTCAGGTATTTTCATAATAACGTGAAATATAACATATATTTACGTAATTTTCCGAAAAAAAAATAAGGGGAGAACTACCGGAAATACACGGAAAATAATGGAAAACCCAATAATAATTTAAAGATATTTTTCAAATATATTATATATTAATTTTATTTCTATAAAAATGATATCTTTAAAATTATAATCACAATCGTCATAGCTATTTAAGAAATGGCTCCCCCCCCCGCCAATTATTTTATTTGACAAATGTTATGGTCTTTATTGAAAGTAGATCTTAAAAACAAATCAAGCTAAAGACATAACCCTGAGAAATAGGCAACTCTCACAAGTATCCAAACATTCAGCCATAGGGATCTAATCCTCCAAGGTATCCTCTATTCCTTTCTACAACACCAAATGATATTGAGAGTGTCCCCATCAATTAAAAGATAACCTCCTATTTGCCCTCCTTGAAAAATCTTTAAACCTTGTAGGACATAATTTAGTTCAAGATGATTTGCAGTGATGCACCCACATAGTCCAGAATATCGTCCAGAATAGCAAAAAAAACCATACCATTCTAATATCACAGTACTCCAATTCCAAATCGTCCTAAGTCTCGTAACGAACTACCATCAAAATTTAATTTGTAGCAACACACAGTAGGAGGAGTCCAACTACTTTTAGATCTAGCATTCGTATGGCCCTGATTCATGAGATTCTCCAAATTCAAAGCAATATCAACTTTAGGAACACCTCATCCTTCATTCGATGTTGAAAACCAACTCCAAAATGTACGTTAGATTTTAATAGTGACTGTTTACTGAGGGGGTTGTGCAGCCTCTGATTCGAAGTTTTCAAATTTGTGCCCTCTAATATCGTGGTGACTTAAACCTCCATGTTCTAAAGATAAATAATTATTAGGAAAACTGTTTGATAGTGTTGCACCATTATCAAAGTAAGTAAAGCCTCACGTCATAACTCATTAAAAATTGCAATCTTTCAAAATCGCAATTCAAGCATTGGAAAACGTTTACATCGATCATCTTGGCTTGAACATTATGGTTGTGAAAAGAAAAAAGGATTTCAAGGTCTAAAAAGAGTTTATATTGTAAAAAATGATCTAGATCGTTCATTTCACTTTCAAAAAAGTTGTCCATAGATCTACAAGATATGTCAGTGTTGAAAGTGCTTTCCGGACCAAGATTTGAGGTGAAGCTTTATTTTGTTTTCATAAAGCCTAGGCCTTACAGAAACTTCATCCTTGTTATTATTGCGTATTATCGTTATGATCAGTAGAAGGTTTCGAACAAGTGAAAAATATGTCATGTCATTGCAGAGTAAAGTTCGCATTTTGCCTTAAGGAATTTCACATGTTTGGGAGGTAATTTTCCCTTCACACAGCACAATGGATGCAAGCCCAAATCCTGTTAAAAGTAAAAGATATCACACTGAAAATACAAACGGTATGGTCTTTGTAGGGTCATAGTTGTAGGATACCAGGTAAGCCGGACCACAAAATCACGCAAACATGGTCCGACTTAGGAACCCTTATGGTGGCTTGTGAATCTATTTTATTACTTGACCATAAACTTTGACGCTCCAAAAAATAGTGCAGATCTGATGATTTTATGGATGCTTAAAGTGGGGGGTCCAAAAAAAATACCACAAGTCACATGTTTACGGCCCGAAATCTTTCATTTTCCAAGGATATCTGAGCTGCATCAGGGTCCTAAAAAGTATTTTCCCATACATAAAATATCTATGATTTCTGAATTTAATGGTACAATGTTACCACTATGACTCTGTTTGTTAAGGTGTACAAGAGAGAAGGGCAATAATACTAATGCCAAGCAGGCCCATAAAAGATATCATTTGTAGAACGGTAGAACACATCTGGACCACCATTTTTTCCTACGGATGGTCATGTTTAACCATGGGTTGGTGGGGCTTGCAATCAAGCATTGGGGTAGGTAGTTGTTGAAAGCATCTATTGGAATGGATAAACATGCCTAAAACACAAAAATATTGTCAAATTCTTTGAATTTCCCAAAATTATTGGGAAATTTAGAGAAATCACCATAAGATATGAACAATTTAACATTGGGATCGTATACAAAGAGATCATTTACTTTTTATACAAGGTGGTCACAACTGTGTACAACCATCCGATGTGAAATTTATAGATTTGGTGTGTCATAAAGTTAGGGAAAATTTCTTTTGAAGTTTGAGTTTGGTCAATGGAGTAAATGCAACCATCTAATTTTACATTCATTGGTCAAGATTAATTATGACCACCTTGTACTAAAGATAAACGGTCTCATCGTATACTTTTTCTTTAACATTTTATTCATATGTTTTATTTAATTTTGAAATACTTATCAAAAGACAACATCATGGAGTAGCTGCAAAAAGATAAAATGTTAAATAATTTATCCCCTATAGATATTCTCAAAATTTTCTCAAAATTATTTACCCCCTAAAAGTTACCATTTTAACCTTGATACCACATTTGTTGGTTCGAATAAAATGTATGCATAAAGATAAGGGCAATGAATAAAATGTATGTATAAAGATAAGGGCAATGAATGAGGTAAAATGGTAACTTTTTTAGGGTAACCTAAACATAAAGTCACTATTTTACCCGTGATAGCACATGTCCTATTTTGAAGCCAGAATCTCTAATTCAAGCATTTGGGGACGGACCTTAACTCCCTATAGACTATGATATTTCATATCATCATCATCATAATCCAAGTCATATCCTAACTATTTGGTGTCCGTAGCATGAATCCTATTTCACCATGCTATTCTATCACGGACTCACCCTCAATCAAATGGCATTATAATGAACGGTCAACGGCTGTTCAATGGGTAATAATCAGCGTTTCAAGATCGGAATCATGCTCTATCTCAATGATATGATTATAGGCCTGCTTGTTTTGAATTGAGCAAATCAACGTCGAACAGGACTATATTTAACAAAAAAAAAAAAATACTAGGACACGGGGAGATTCAAGTGATTCTGGGTTTTGACCGGAAAATCGGTAATAACGTGGTAAAAACAAGATTTTTTTTTTTAAGAGGGTGGTAAAAACCAGTTGTTGGGCCATATTGCAAAAGCACTAGTATTATGGGGGCTATTTTATTGGATTTCTCACTACCCTAGTGCTTGGCATCATTTCTTTGTCATTTTTGAGAGATACACAAAGTTAGACGCCACAGGTTGGAGTTTACCTAAATAAAATACATCTCTAAGTGCAAACCAATTGCACTGCACATGCCAATGCCAGTCTCCAAAGGAAATGACCAATCCTACGCTAATCAATGGAAACACTCTTTACATACCAAGAGCCACGATTTTGTTTGCACCCGCATTAAATACTTGTGGGGCATGTTGTTTTTTCCACAAGTTTTAAATAGTAGAGTGGGTCATGAGGTTTCCTTTCTCTAATTTGATGTTTTGCCCTCAATCAAGGGCACTACTCTTGGACCCCTGTACCTCACCGCATTTCACGCCAGGATTAATATTGAAGGACGAGAAAACACAGCCTTTGAGACCCTGCTAAAGTCTAAGCCATGCCTTTTCTTTTCTTTTCTTTTTTTTCCTTGACAAAGCGAAGGCATACTTTTTTCAAACCTTCCTCAACCAATTTGTCATATCATGGACTCACTTTTCTTTGTTTGGCCACTAAATTGGTTTTATTCGTAACAAAAAAGAGGGTGCAGTTTGCATACAGATGCATTCGGAGGTTTAAAAGTAAGGTGTACCTTCAAATTTTATCATGGTATATAATTTTGATGTAAAATATCTTTACGATTATCTAAAAATCTATTTTTATATTTAATTATAAAATTTAGATTTCAAAAATGGTTAAAATCAAGTAGATCTATAAGCATATACAAATCTTGAAAATGGACGGTGTAGATAATATGTTGTAAAATGCATTATTTATGAGACTTAAAATCTTTTTATTTTTCATAGTCATACATCTCGATGTTCAGATGATCATTCAAAGGGTTTTTCAACAATATATAAACTTTCCCCAAAGGATGTGAGAGAGAGAGAGTGATAGTATCCAGAATCCGAAGTCCATGAGTATTGCAAAGCGTCACTCAAGGCAGTTGGAATGCACAAAAGGCTCAGTGATAATCTTTTTGACCTTCAAGTGGGGTTAGGTTTGCAGCATACCCACTATAACTCATCATGTCAATAAACCACCATCATCTATCCCCTCTCATACTGTCCCCCACACCTCTCTATATAAGGCCCCCCCCCCTCCCTCCCTCTCTCCCCACCTTACTCATGGCTTCCCTTGCAAAACTCCCATACCTCCTATCTCTCCTCTTCCTCTCTTCATCTCTCCTGGTCCATGCTAGGGACAGCCAGTTCTTCAGCAAAACCACCCGAAATCAAGAGTATCCCGTCGCAGAATCCGTCGAACCTCCCGTGACCCAGTCTCCGAATGGCCATGGCCTTTATGGCCGTGGCATTCCTGGCTCCGATGACCCATACTACAACTTCGAAAGGCCTAACTCTCAGGACTTCAAGGTCGACCACTCCGAAAAGAGGCCTGCCAAGACCACCAATTCTGGCACTACCTTCCCGAGCTCCGACGAAACCAAAGAAGTAAACAAAGATCGAGTGACCAAAGACCCTTACTACTACTATGATCAAGCCGCCTCTCAAATCTCGGACCTCGAGCCCTCCCGAACCCAGCAAACCGATCTCACGAAGACTGGCGATAGCTACAGACTCGCCGGGAAGCAACCGGCAGAGTACAAGTACCCTAAAAGTAGCTTCCCAAGCTTAGAGGACAAGGATCCATTAGAGGATGAGGAATACACAAAGTATGAGAGCAAGGATCAATCTGGAGATATTTTCAAGGAGTGGACTGGTATGAGTGACACTAGGCACCAACAGCATGGGCGATATCACTTTGATATCCATGGGAAGAATGAGCATTACTACAAGCCTGAGCCCCAACGGGTGAGGGAAAGTAGATATGGGTCTGGCTATGGTGCTAAAGGAGAATATGCTGAAGGAGACTTTGGTGAAGAGGATTTTGAGGAAGAGAGATTTGACTCTACTCAAAAGAACCAAGAGTATGTGCCATGAGTGAGCTTGGAGATGGGCCTTTAGGGTTGAAGGAGGGTTTTCTTTTTTTTGGGTTTAAACATTGGTCTTCTTCTATAAATTATAAGTTGGTTTTATAATGTTGGGATATAATATTTTTTTCTTTTTTTCTGTTTTACTTCTCTTTTGAGGCGATGAGGTAACAATAAACCTTGCTCTAGCTCTTAGTACAATGGATGTCTATTTATTGTACTCAATGGATTTCTATTTAATGTACTCAATATTGGTGCATAAACATCTCTCACTCTCCATGCTTATGTGATTACTGCACACAAGTGTTTTGTGTACACGATTGGGAGCAAATATTGAAATTCATCTTTCTCCTATCTAAGCTGGATGCCATTACCTCTCTAAGAAAATGTCATTTCAACGATTTGGCGTGTACAGGTATTTGGAGATTTTTCATTAAGAAAATTACTTTTTCGGAGATTTTGCCAGGGCTCCCACTTGATGGTCTTGAAGGACCACCTTGTTCTCTAGCCCCAAAAACACTAAATAATTTTTTATTATTCACCTGGGAACAACTTATATGCAAACAAAAATGTGAATGGAAACGTGGATCGTCCATCAAATGGATGTTCTAGAGTCAATCTTGGAGGTTATGTCTTTAAAGCGTTTTTCTAGCTTTTATGTTTATAATCAATTTGCAATGATGCTAAACATGAATAAATATTGATTTGAGGGTTTTTTTGTCAAACTAATGGCTCTAGTATAATATGTTTCCCACCCAACAAGTGTACATGGTGGTCTCATCGGACCACAAATTCTTTTCCCCCTCAAGGAGAAAGTTCATTCTCTAAGATGGACATTGTTCCCTTGAATTTGTTTTAAATGGTTAATTGGGGTTAGAACTTTCATCCATATGCCGACGTATTTGTCTATCAACCCGGCAATCTTGGTTTTCCCCAATGTTTTAAAAGCTGATCGGTGCGGCTAATGGTCTTGGGTCGACGATTCCAATCGATCCAAAAAAAATAAAAATAAAAATAAAAAATAGAGGTGTGTGAGGTGGGGATCTGGAGGAGACAACAAAAACAATAAATAAGCGTAAAGAAAAAAAAAAAAAAGTGAAAAGGGATGTTTTCATATAAAATCAGACCAGTACTCGTATAATTCGTCCCTGCTGAATCCGCATTCGCATTGACGACCCGGATCGGAAATCGCTGGTTTTTAAAATTTCCATTATTACGTCTACACCTACATGGCAGAGGTTGCTCTTTTCTTGGAATTTTTTTTTTCTCCTTTTTTTATGGCCCACCATCATGGCACCAACTACGCAACTGTTTGAACAATTAATCAAACTAATTTCCCAAAGCAGAGCTGTTAATCAAATCCTAAACAGCGGTCAGAGGGTACAAAAGTATTTCCAGCAAGAGGTAAAACTCATGTAAATGAAAATTTTGGCTAATGAAAAAATAGGGAAAAAACAATCACAGGGCCCGTGATCAATAAGAACGGATAAGTGAAAAAAAAAAAAAGCACCATGAAACTAAAATAAAATAAATATATAAATAAATGGAGAAGGTATGGGCGTCCATTCAAAACTGAATAGAAGTTTTCGAGAGAAGTGGGGAGATGAGGAGAGGATGAAAAAGTGTATAGGGGGAACTGACTTGCAGGGTATAAGATCAAGACCATGAGTATTTTGATAATTTTTGTGAAAATAAGAAAGGAAGAGAATGGAGAGAGAATAACAAAAGCGGGGGAAAAGTTTACATGAGGTTGCAACCCTTAAACTAAGGTACAATTCAATAAATCATCGGAAAAGGTTTTTTTTGATGTTGGAAAATTTTTGCATCCAAAAAATTCTTTTATGTAGTTAGATGTGAGAATATTTTCGTACCAAATAGTTTTAATGTCTCTTTTCATACCAATTGTCAACTAATTGATGTACAAATATTCTCACACTTAACCACATAGATAATTTTTTCATGTGGAAATGTTTTCCGAAAAATATGTTAACGCGAAACAAACGTGCCACAATTGATCTTCTCCACATTACAATGTATGAATATGAGAACAAAAAAAAAGGATTTTGAGTCCCAAAAAAAATGTATCTTGCAACATATTATCTAGGCCGTCTATTTTCAAGATTATCACATGTTTATAGACCTACTTGATTTGAATTATTTTTGGATTTTAAAATTTATAATTAGAGATAAAAATGGTTGTTCAAACGTCCTTAAGAATTTTTTACAGCAAAATTACACCTTATGTTAAATTTTGGAGGTCCTCCTTGATTGCTTAAAGTGTTGAGGACTGATGTCTTGCATTCTAAGGAAATAGATCTGTCAAGGTAGAATTAAAGAGACGACTCCGGAGGGCCGAGATTTCATTTGTATCTTCTGTACATGGGGTATTTCGATAATTTGTACCATCTGCTTGGGACTCTATATATTATTGCGAAGAGGTATGAGGAAGAGAGTTATTATAACCCTATTTTTTATTGCTAGTAAAGAAGCTCTCATCTCCCTATGGCCGAACCATATATATCTTTATTGCGGTTGGTTGTCTATTTCTTCTGGTATATGTTTCTTCTTTTTTGTTTCGTGGATTGTTATTTCCTTTCTATCTAAAGTTGCGGACATATACAAACCACATCTTTCACATAAACTATGCTCCCTCGGGAGGATATTTCCTTTGTAACCCCTCGATCAAAAAGACAGGTGGGAGGAGTTCTTCATTATGAAACTTGGATAATGGAAATGTAGACAGGTGGAAGGGTGCACGAACACCCTTCAGCGGTTGAGACTACTTACTTTTGATATAAGATGGTCATAATTAATTTTTTACCATTGAATGTGAAATTGAGTGGCTGCATTTATTCTATTGACCAAGATCAAACTTCAAAAGAGAAAAAAAGCTAGGTTTGATGTAAAATCGATCAAAATCAATACTTGTTTTTTATAGTTTAAAATAAGTTTTAATACTCATAAATAAATAAATAAATAAATAATATAGAATGAAACTATTTATTTTTTGTACAAGGTGGTACTATTAATCTTGTTGGGTTGCAATTATTCCATCGATCAAACTCAAATTTTAAAAGAAATTTTTTCAAACTTACGTCCCAATTATCAAATTTTACATTGAAGTTTGTAATCATATTGTATCAAAAGTAAATAGTCTCGATATAAGCGATCCCAAAAAAAATAAATTTGATCAAACAACGAACGAAAAAAAGGCGCGGGCTCCATGGCCACACTTTCCTTCTCAGACCTCAACATCTTTCAGGGCAAATGTTGAAGAAATATGGAGATCTGGTCACCTGGATCGGGCATTGGAAGAGCTTGGATCGCCCATGGTTTACTCACTGTGGCCGCTATTGCAGCGGCCGCCTATGCTTTTCGAAGGAATTCATCCCGTTATCGAAACAGAGCAGTTGGAATCATACCTGCTCGATATAAGTCCTCTAGATTTGACGGAAAACCCTTGGTCCAAATCCTTGGAAAGCCTATGATCCAGGTTTCCCTCTATTTCTCATTGTCTTCTGCCCTTGATTTGTATTACCTTAATTTCCATACGGATAGTTGAGCTCTGTAAGTTCTTTGATCCTCGTTTTGTATATTTTCTATTTATTGTTGCATTTTTAAATAAATTATAATATTTTTCAGTTTTTGAGTTGGGTTTATTGTCTTAATCATTTTGAAATTTGATGATATGGTTCCCCTGCTACTTTGCTACTTTTTCTGCAGTTTTTGATGTTTAATTGCTCTGATATTCCATTTCATACTGATGGGAAATTCAATGTTCTTAAATTTGGTTTATTTATTTTATCTTTCTTCTTATTTATCTATAGCTGAGTTTCAGTTTTTGTTAATTTTTTGTTTTGAGATAATTGATTGAGATCAGTTCTGCTGTTCAGCTGTGATATGCATCTGTATTATATAGTCTGATGCTTTGGTTAATTGTTTGGGATTTTGAGAAAATAAGGTAAAACCAGTTACTGCTATTTCATTGGGATTAGTTTTCTTCATAGTAGTTTTTTTTTTTTTCCCCTTTAATTGCCATAAATTCTATCAACTCAATAAATCATTTTCAAAATTAGAAAAGCTCCAAACTGATTTCCAGAATTGATACATTTCTTTGGAGATAATCTTATGTGCATTGGATTATCTTTTATATAATCTCAAATCTAAGGAGGAAAGAGAATCTGAATTTGAAAAATATATTGTGATATCAATTTCAAAGTGTTTCTTGGAGCCATCTCTGGAGGAAAAAGGCACTGAATGAATTGATAATTGAAATTAAGTCATTTGGGGTGGCTGGTAAATAGTGGACCCAATCTCAGTGTAGGATCAGTTAGTGACCTATAAGATCATTGGGATAAATTAAAAAATATGTTGAAGAAACAAAAAGGGGGACAAAAATAAAGCATAAGAAATTACTTAGAGAAATTTACAAATAAATCCTATTCCATTTTGAAATTTAAAACTAGTGTGCTATATTTTATGTTATACACTCCCTTCCCACTTTTTGAGAACATTACTGTATTTTAGTTTTAGTTTTTTATCTGTATATTGGATGAAGCTGATATTTTGGGCATTCATACTTATCCACCATCATGCACCTGTAAAAAAATAAAACATGTGATTCAATAATAAATATGACTATACCCATACGAGATTCATGGCTATATTGGTAATTGTATTTATTTCAACTTATTTTTTATTTTTTTACAGGTGCATGATGGTAAGAAGTATGCACACACCAAGTTAGAGCTTAATTCATGCATAAGAAAAAAAAAAAAAAAGGAAAGAAAGAAAGAAAGAAAAGAAAAAAAAAAGAAAGAAACATTATAATCTCTCAAAGAATGGGATTTGAAAGTAAATACAAAATATATAGGACTACTTTTAAATTTCGAAAATAAAATAGGATATTCTGTAAATTCCCAATTACTTATAAGTGAGAGATAAAAGTTGTAATTGATCAGGTAAATTCCTTGGATAATTCAATTAATGAATTATTTCAATGAATGGAGGAATATTTTCTAGAAGTGGAATAAAACTAAACTAAGAGTTAATAAATTTCATGAAAAAGCAAGATCAGTAAATTCTTGTGAAAACTGGAAATTATTTAGTACTGGTTCTGATATGCTAATGATTATTAAAAATAATTTTCCAAGGTGTAGTAGCCCTTATTCATGCTTTGGAATTTAATAAGTTAAATTACTAGATTCAGATCCAATCTTTATTGTTTACTTCTTCGTTTTTTAATTCATCAATTCTGATCATTAC